ATTGAAAATTCAAGTTACCGATAAAAGAAAAATCAAATTCAACTACAAAAAAGAAAAATAGGTCGGCTAACATTTTCGGAAAAGGGTACATTGGTCAATTTGAATGGATCACCTGAATTTATTGAAAAGTGGTTTATAAATCTTGGACTGAATCCCATTAAAATCACAATTCTGTTTCTCTCTCTCTCTCTCTCTCTCTGTTTCTCTTCAAGAAACACCGCCTCCAGTTTTTAATTTCCAAATAAAAATACATTTTATATAATAATTAAATTCCTGGGCTCCGAAGAGAAACAGAGATTTGGAGTCCCAATTTTTAAATTTTTTTGTTTGAATTTTTCTGAATCTTGGAGGGTTTTCTGTTTTCGAATTAGTTTATATGGTGAAGGCGATGATGGGTTCGTTGCATTCTGAAGATTTTTCCGAAGAAATATATGGGTCTCTCGTGAAGCGCTCTCGATTAGCCACTGCTCCTTCTGATCAGGTTTTCTTTAATTTTTTGTTATCTGGGTTTTGCCTTTTGTTTTTAGTTTTACGAGTTTAAGGGGTTTTAGTCTTTGTATCATCGGTAAAGTTAGCTTTTTTTGGCGTTCATTATGAATCTTTTGGTGACATATGCATGCGCGTGTATATATATAATGTGCTTTCATGGGATAGCTGATAAGTGGAGCTTCATGAAGAATTGATTGCGAATGTTATGTGAACTTTCTCAGCCCATGTTACAGTACAATCCGCTCGATGAGCCAAGTCCTCTTGGCTTGAGGCTTAGAAAGAGTCCATCATTATTGGATTTAATACAGAGGAGGCTCTCTCAAGGGAATACTGTTGGTATATCGATGTCTCCTAGTGAAACTATCGACACCGAAAACAAGAAAGCTGTGAAGGGCTTTTCTTCTGTCTCGAGTGCTAATGAAAAGTTGAAGGCTTCAAATTTTCCAGGTTTGCTGTTGAGAATCGGCAGCTGGGAGGTACTTTTTCTGAACTTCCATTTACATGCTCCTACGAAAACTTCTTGTGGGTTGTTTGGATGAATTTGGTCAGAATGAGTAATCTGATGTTAATGGTGCCACTTGAGTATATGAGGTGTTTTATAGTCTCTTCCTAGTCCCTAAAATAAACACATTGAGTAAAATCATTTAGTCCAATATGTCGTATTGAACTAGGAGAATTGAGTGAAATAACATAAAGCATGTTATCAGATACTCTGATCCGTTGAATCATTTTCTGGCAGTATCTGTCTAGATACGAGGGTGATCTGGTGGTTAAGTGTTATTATGCTAAGCATAAACTTGTCTGGGAAGTTCTTGAAGGTGGTCTCAAGAGCAAAATAGAGATCCAATGGTCTGATATCATGGGCCTGAAAGCTGATTGTCCCGTTAATGACCCTGGCATTTTAACCATCATGGTACATGCTACACTTTTATTTTTCTTTTTCCTTTTTTTTTTTTTTTTTTTTTTTTTTTTCTTNTGACTAGTAGTAGCAAAACTGTATACTTTTCAATATTCATGGTTTTCAAAACCATTTTTTATCAATCTTGCGTGCTCCAGCTAGCTCGGCCACCTGCCTTTTTCAGGGAGACCAATCCACAACCCAGAAAGCACACTCTGTGGCAGGCAACAGCCGACTTTACTGATGGGCAGGCTAGCTTAAATAAGTAAGTTTTTAAGTTATCCTTGCTTTTTTCCTTTTTGTAGCAATAATCAGGACTTGTGGAAGTTACATATATATATTTTAATTTTAGTCGTGGTTTTTGTTTCCAAGATTGTCGGCACTGTCCTCCATAATTTCACACGACTGAATGGCTCTAAAAATTCACGCATATTTTTTTCTCACCAAGTTCATATTTTTCTAACCCTACAAGAATATCAATTTCTTATGAAATGTTGGTTGAAATCATTATTTGCCCGTTTCACAAGATTTTTGTCAATTTTTTTGAGTAAGCTTGGCATAGACTAGTGTCTAGTAGACATTAGCAATATACTTTAATGCGGTTTGCGTCGAAAGATTCTTATGAAAGAGTTTTCCATATTTCAAACTTTGGTGCTAGAATTGAT